GCGACTGCGCAGCTCAACTTGTACCTTCATTGGCTGCGACAATAGACTCGATTTTCCTTGTTCTTTGATTTCCTAGCGGTGGTTTTCTGGTTCTAGTTACGCTTTGGCGTGTCAATTGGTTTTTTCACTTGATAGTCATGAGCAGACATCTTGTGCCCACACCTTTCTTCTGCATCTCTCTTCTCTACATCGTGTGGTTCGGTGGGAAGAAAGGCTCTTCTTGTAACCTTCGAGGCTTCTTTTCTTCTTCTTTTCTTCTTTAGCTAGCTTGGCGTATGTTATTGCATCGTCTGCTTCCGTTTACGCACGAATGAAAATGTGCCTCATCTGATGGGTAAATGGTTCATTTGAAGCTTTCTAGAGATCTTCTGACATTATTATTTCTTTCTTTTCTACTGGACTGGTCATGAGCCTTGACTTCGAAGAAAAGCAGAAAAAACTTGTAACTAGAAAGCAATGAGAAATGAAAATTCATGGAATATGTCCTACTGCTTTCATGTGAGTTTTTGGGCTGAGTCTACAACGTCTTGAACTGCTGCCTTTGACTTTTTATTTGCAATTAAGTTCGAATGTGAAGTCCTTGTAGTAGTGAATTCTGTCTAGCGTGTTGAATGATTGAAATTTGACCTGATATATATATTTTATTTAGCCCAGTTGGGATATGCTTCGAGGCATCCTGTTGAGATTTAGGTAGTTGTAGAGGAGGTGAGATAGAGACAACGCATTGAGGCTGTGGGGAAGGGGTGCGGTGCGGTGCGTTTTGGAAGGGTGAGCTTTGAGGCTTGTATACTGTTGGCGGCTAGGTAGAGTGGATTGAATGCACTTGTATTGGAGGGGAGGAAAACAATTCATCAGATGCCATTGTCTTTTATTGTAGTTAGACTGTCTTTTCTCCTTGCATAGAGGACATAATTTGCTGTGGCAAAGCAGTTCACGTAAATAGTATCGAAGCTGAGAAGATCGAAACTCTTCAAAAGGAATGCAATGTCTAAGACCATTAACTCGGTACTTGAATTTTCCTCAAGCATTTCTTCATTCATGTGGAAGTTATAGTCAGGACTTCATTTGCTTCATTCATACTTTAGCATTAACCAAGGATCGTGCTGATACCAGCAGCTTTGTTCATTATCATCACATCACATCACATCATACTATCGCTCCCTTCCCTTCCCTTCCCCTCCCCTCACCCATTTATCCTCATCCATCAATCAACAGCCCACCTCTCCTCCAGCGCAGTTCCCCTCCTCAAACACTTTTCGCCTCCACCTCGACCCCCTTCCCCCTCTCACTCTCACTCCCCCCACCCCTCACCCCCTCACTCCCATAATCCTCTCCACTCAATTTCTCCAAACTAATCCTCTTCGTCTCGGGTATACACAGCGTTGTAAAGATCCCCGCAAACATGAAGACTGCATAGATCTCCAGAACATGGTCCAACCACGGACTTGCAGATTTGGCAGTTGCGCCTCGCACTCGCAGGGGTGCAATGGCCGCTTGGCCTATGATAGAACCAATCTTGCCCATGCCGGCGCTGAAACCGTGAGAGGTGCTGCGGTAGCGGGTGGGGAAACATTCGCCGGGCACGATGAAGGTTGTTGTGTTGGGTCCTGGGGGGGTGGTTACTCAAGATTCGGACTTTAAGAGGTTCTCGAGTTGCAAAGGGAGGAATCGGAAAAAAGGGAAAAAGGATCACGTACCAAAGTTGAAGAAGAATTGAGCAACAACATAAAGACCCAGTAACCCATGACCCGAAAGTTTATGGTAACCAAAACCCATCCCGATAAAAACAATCGTTAGAACAATAAACCCCATAAGTTGAATCGGTTTCCGTCCAATCGTATCAACCGTTGCAACGGTAACCCAATACCCTGGGATCGCACCAGCACACACAATGATGAGATTTCCAATCGCTGTATTCAACAGGGTTTTGTAGACTGTCGGACCTGTTGAATAACCGATCGCAGTCAATATAACCGGATTATTCAACGACAATCCATACCAAGCTACATCGAGCAAAAACCAAGAACCAGCTGTCCCAAAGAGGATTTTGCCATTTTTCCATTGTGAATAATAAGCGACAAAATCACTCCAACTAGCTTTGGGGATTTTTATTTGAGACTTGCCGGCCTGGAGTCCTTGGACTCGCGCTATTTCATCAGGGTGACCTTCCGCTTTACCGGCTATATATGCTTCGACATCCAATTGCGCTTGTTCAACATCGCGCGCGACATCGAATGTATAGCGAGGTGTTTCGGGGATCGTGAGTCGGTAGTAGAGTGCTACACAAGCTAGCGCAGCGGGTATTAGTGGATACTTCGACGGACAGCCTATCTTCGCTAAGCTCAGGAGTATGTTTACCTGGAACCGCGCCAAATCCAATAAGTACTCTCCACATTTTATCGACTGCTAAGCCGCAGACACCTTGACATAATGCGGCGGATTTGGCGGTGAGAAGAGATTCTTTGAAGCCGGCGACTAGGATTAGCATGACGAGACCGGCGACGAATTGGCCGATTCCTTGCATGGCGAAGACGGCACCCATCATTGCTCCACGCCATTTGGTGGTAGCAAATCTATGTGCTTGTTAGACTATGCTTGGTTTTGAACAAGAATATTGCATAACGATGAAGTTTCAAGGGAGTTTAAGCATCCAGAGCTTTTCACAATAATGCATTGATGATTCGGCCAATTTTCACCAATGCGCAGAATGGATTCCACAACTTCAGAACACAAGATTTGATAGCTAATAGAAAGGGAGCTCACTCTGATGTGATAATAGATGAGAGTGGGTAATCACCACCAATTCCTACCAATTGAGTCAGTTCTTCCTCTTCATATCTGATTGAAGATGGCAGGATCATAAGCTTACCGATACCCATAAGAACACGCCAGAAGATTATGACCCCCACGATGTTCACAGCCGGAGAACTCGAGGTTAGAGATTGTGCCACTGTGAGATTGGAAGGTCAGTATTCCCTACCAAGTACAGAACTCAAAAGTAAATGACGAAAATGAAGTATTATTGCTCCATGGAGAGAAAGAGTATACAGAATGCAATACTCGACTCTCAAGTAGAGGGTAAATCGAGGGACAGAAGTTCAAAGTTGAAACAAAAAAGTTAACGATCCATCCGTACTCACATGTAGCAAAAATGATAATGATCAATTCCAGTCCATACTGCGATTACATATAAGCATTGAGGCTTGACGCATGATCAAACCACATACCATCTTCTTGCGTCCCACAATATCCGCCAAGATGCCAAATCCAAACTGACCAACCACCGTGCCCGCACTGGTCGAGACCTTGATTGCCGTGTCGGAATTAGTTGGCATGACTCCTTTGTTATGCGGAAAATAAACTATTCCAAGCATAGTGGTGAGGAGCCCGACAGCAAAGATATCATAAGAATCGGTAAAAAATCCAATGCCGGCAACCACACACGCACGAACATGGTACCATCCGAATGGAGCGCGATCGATTTCAGCTAGAGCGAGTCTTCGTCTTTCATTGGGGTCTTGGATGTGAGCAAAATCATTGTTGAAATTGTGCCAAACGGCATTTCCACCGGAGGTTGTGTGAAGCGCAGCGGGAGCTGACGGGTGAGGTGCGGCTTCTCTGGGGAGCTCTGGGCTCGTCATTGTTAGATGGCTTTGAAGTACTAGAGAGTTTTGAATTCTATGCCTGTCTTATATCACTTTCAATCTTCAGGAGACTTGAAGTAGAGCTGCATTGTAAAATACCCACGAGGTCAGTCAGCTTTATCAAGCAGTGAATGAATGCGCCAGCCAAGCCATGGGGTAACATTCAATTGGTGACTGACTTGTTTCTCACAATCTCACTCGAGGTATAAATCACTGAATATGGCAGGTTCCCGTCCAATTTGTGGCGTGGTAAATGTGGTTGTACCAAACATATTTATATATCAACGAATTACAGATTGTGATATAGAAACGGGCTTCACAAGTGACGAACAGTGTGTTGCATATGATGGCTACAGCCGACGAGGCTGATATTGAAGAATTAAAAGTTACGACAAATCAGATTTTATAGATCTAGCACGTTTCCAGTTCAGAGGTTAATACAAGGTTGCTCAAACCTCCCCAATCAAGCCCTGTAATATGTGTTGCAGGGTGCTATTCATAAAATATATCGCGAGCATGGGTGGTTGTATTGATTCGCTTAATGCACTCGTAGTGTTACCAGCAACGACATCGTATCAAACTTTGAGTCAGTTTTATTAGGTTTGATAAATCGATTGGTTTGATTTCTGTGTAGCCTGGTGATGTAGCGTATGCTGTACCATACGAGGCAACAACTATGTTGCTGTCTATAAGGAGGTACAGGCCCTCCATTTTGTAGAGTTATGGGCCGAAAAGACTGCTCGATCTCAATTTATCCCCGAATAACAATACATAATATATATAATCACTCCACATTAGCTATGAGCCATCTGCGCCACTGTATTGCAGACCCAAGGCGTTCTTGGCATTGATAAGCATTTAAATCGGGATGCTAGAAGCAATGGCGTAGTCCCAAAGAAGGATTCTCGAAGTTTAGATGTCGATGAAAAGAGAGCTCGGCATGGAGCACGTTCTTTCAAGAGATCTTTAGACAGGACGATCTATGACAAACGAAAATCTTCAGATACAAGAGTACTTTCCCTCTTCCTTCGTGTAATCTGCCCTGCCATTATTACGTTCAGCCTTTAGTTGGAATTGGGCAGCCCACGGTTGGAAGCGATATGACATCTGGCTGAAATGTTCACTTCTCTTGGCGCTTCCAAGTTCGATAAGTGTGAATCTTTGTAAACCAGCTGGGATATTTGTGCCGATTTAGCCGTCGCTTACCACTGCAACCATGGGGGTGACTTCAATCTATGCTTCCAATCGAGATATTAGATATCAGTAATAACTATTGACAGAGTCGTGGTTTAACGCTCAAGTCCGAATGATCGTGGGGGCTTAGAAGGTATTTTTTTTTGCAGCCTCTTCGGAACATCAGGCGTGTATACCAAGGTGAGACACTAGGCTTTGTGATTCTTTTGATGTTTCGGTATCTTCTTTGTCAGACATCCACTGCCAGGCTAGCAACGACCAGTTCAATTCCTTACGCCAGAACAGTCCGTGGCCGAGTTCGCTGTCTGCACAAAGACCACCAGTCTTTGGCATACGTTGTCCGAATATTACTCGTCCAAAGCGAGAATGTACGATAGCCATGGAGCACATAACACACGGCTCATGTGTCATGTAAAGCTCCAACTCATGACAAAGATATCCGTCGATCCATTCAGCTGAGTTGTGGTGCTTTGCCTCCAGGGTATCCAATGATTGATCACGGAAAATTGATTTTTGTTCTGAAGTATTCTTCGCTTCTGAGTCTTTGCCAGCTTTACGTTCTTCTTGAACTTTTATTCCATCTGCTACCATCGCAATAACTCGAAGCGCTGCATGCGCTGTAACATTACCAGACCCAACCCGTGGCCATTTCATCCATCGCGCGTCACCAGCAACCGCAAGTATGCGTGCAGCTCCGTTCTTTCTTTCGACAACTACGGCACCGATTTGCTCTCCAACACCTGTCGTGCTTGAAGAACGAGCTACTTCAGCAGCTAAGTCCATATACTTCTCGACTTCTCCTTGTAGGTCTTCTTCTGCTCTAGATACAATTGCTGGATGGGGACCAAACGGATTACTTTTCTTGTATACTATGGGCCAGTATTGAAACGACCAAGACTTCGCTTGTTCTTGCGATGTCGGGGCTAACAAAGGTACTTTGATGGAACAAATGGTTGCTGGATCTAAAATTGGAGAAAGGGCACCGCGTAATTCTTCCGAGCTGATGAGATTTGCAGCTCCCACAAGAAGGAAAAGCTCGGGAGATTCAATGTCGACTGGGTCATCGCTTTCTGCTCTTGCTTCTAGCATTGAAGTGAGAACGTGACCTGGAACGTCCGTTTGTTTCGCAAATCTTCTGATGTGCTGTAGATCATAGCCACCATCTTCAGGAAAGAGTCTCCTTGTTAAACTGAGAAAGTATGAGTACATGCATAGTTCCACAAAAATGAGGGTTAAAACCTACTTAAGAACACCACTAGCTTTTTTCGCTGGAACGCTTGTGATGTAAACACTGAGCAATGAATATCGAGCTCTCGTTTCCAATGTGGTCTTGAGAGGAACAAGACCACTTGATGTAGCCGAAGCCTCGGCCTTGTTTTTGGTGAGTACTTTATTCATTTTTTTCAGTTCCAGGTAACTTGACACTCGTCTTGTATAAATTATTAATTGTTAAGCACCAGTCACTCTTGTCTGCGAATCATCAGTTCAAGATATTTATTACTCGGTTGTGCAGAAAAGGACTCTGTGGGTCAGTAAAAAATTCACCAAGCTTGATTTGCACGTGATCCGACCTGTGTCATTACCTGCCACCTACCTACCTCCCACCTACCTACCTACCTCCCTCCCTACCTACCTCCCTCCCTACCTGGGTGCTCCATCGAACACATCCGATGGAGTGAGAACCCAAGCCAAGGTGCTCTCACTACCCAATTATTTAAATTTATCATTCTCCAAATCGCCAAAAGGGCACGCATCGAAATTCTGTCGATTTTCTCTACCTCTTACAAAGAATGCTAACATTCACAAATCATTAATAAGTGAAGAGCATTTTCATTATATCAGATGTCATCATTTTCTACCTACTGAAGTGGTTCAACTAAAAAATTCCGAATTTAATTACCATTTCACCAGACCAACGTATTTTCATTGATGATGTTCAATCTGAGCATATTTCGATACCTTATCAACAACCCATCGATGATTTGCTTTCCCTTCCCTTGAATTCATATCCCGGCGTGATAATACAAACGCTCCATAACCGATGCCATCCATTCATAAATACATATGTTTATAATTTCCATTCCAAACGCCTATGCTTTAAAACCCCCGGATACCCATTCCCCCATATACACATGTTTGAAAGATTTGCAATTAATCAACTGAAAACTGGAGCTTTCATCTGCCAAAGAGCAACTTTAGCTCTTTCTCTCACATCCAATTCCGGATCATGTTCCAGATTTTCAATTTTTTCGAGGATACCAAGTTGTTTCAAATTATGCACGCGTTGCGCGCAAGCGGGCCCGTCATTCGAATCATCCACCCAGGTGAGATTAGAGACCAGAAAGCACAATGCAACTCGTACTTCGTAAGCTTTATTAGTGAAGTGAGGGATGAGAAGTTTAAGGAGTTCAGTTTGGGCGATGACGATTTGACGATGTTGAGGGATGCTGGCGGCCATATGAACTAGTATATAAACGACAGCGACAATAATTTCTGGTTGAGGGGTAATGACTTTCTTCTCTTGTGCGTTAGAATCTCTGCGATTAGCGTTGGAGGGAATATTGATGATCTTTGGTCGAAGCTTGGATGCCAGAATATCGAAAACTCGATCTTGTCCCAAAGAATTGAAAAGATAGTCAATCATTTCAGTATTTTCTGCAGTGCCACCATGGCCTGATCCTGCACTTGAAATCAAATTTCGTATGAAATCCAGACCTTGTTCTTGAACAGCAAGATCGTCTTTTCTGGCCTTTTTAGCAGGGTTTAGTTCGGCTTCCCTTAGAGCTGCAAGTTTAGCTTCTGCTTGCTGTAAGCTTTTGCTGCGATTGCTACTACTAGATCTGGAGTTGCTATGGGCTGGGAATGAACCATTCATTGGTGATTCAAACTGACTCATCTCAACATCTTCGTCCATAGCATCATCAGACCCAGAGGTTGTGCTATAACTGCTCTCTTTGAGAAGTGCTTCATCTTCTGTATCGTTACAAATGAGGTGGTCTAACCATCCAGAACCTAACTCCTCCAAACACTTTCTTTTAGTCTCATTGCCGACACCACAAACAAAGTGTTTGAGTGCCCAGGTAGCATTGAGACGAAGCTTTGCGTTGGTCGAGTGAGCCTGTTCACAGAGGATCCTAAGTACGCCACATTCCATAAAACTCTGCGAACAAATTAGTAACGAGGTGATAATAGCATCAAATGTGTACAAACCTCTCGCATCGGGGCAACGTCAGTCAAAAGATTGCAGACTGCAGCTGTAGCGGCAATCTGGACTTCGACATCTGAGTGAGTGAGAAGGGGAAATATTGGTGCAACCACTCCATTATCAATCAAGGTAGTCCGAAGTATGCAAACTGATCTTGCCAAGGCGCGGGTAGCGGTACAAGCAGCGATAAGAACGCCCACGTGGTTGATCCCGTACCCATCCTGCTTGCCATCAACTTCGCTTGACACGGGTTTCTTTTCTGTTTTGTCACCTTTATCATTGACCTTGGTCGATGGTTTTTGGGGGCTAGGGTTTAGCGATTCGACAATATAAGGAATGATACCATTATCCACAACGGACTTTCTGTGATCCTCTTTGAAAGGAACAAGAGAGGCTATAGCTCTTAGCACGCTTTCCCTTACTTTTATTTTGTGGACAAGGAGAGCAGATTGACCAGGATCGCCAAGACGTGAGGATGGGGTTTGTTCCACATAATCTTTGGCCTCATTCGACTGAACAGGTGACCAGAATTGGGCATTTTCACTCTCTGGTACTGGCTCATAAGCCAATTTTATCAACTTAGATAGCTTGGGCATTGCTTTGTTTTGAAAAGTGGCCTTTTGAAGATGTTCGCTATCCGTGATCAGTAAGGATAATATTCGTGGAGCCATTTCTGTGATTGACCACTCAATCCTCAACGTTTCATGATCATGAGAAGCATCCTTAGACTTTACTAGGGTGGAATCTTCATTCAACATCTGCACAAGAAGCGGCACCACTAACAAAGCTAATGTCGGTTCTCGGGCTTTGTTGATAAGACCGGCTCGAAATAGAACTGTTAGCAGATATGCAGCCATAAGTCTCTCCTTACATTCTCGTGACCTCATGATAAATATCAAATATGCAACCATGGGGGTTTCAGATTCATCTGGAACCACTTGACTTTCCGGTGATGAACCATTACGATCTGGTGCGCCGCCCCATGTGGAGGCAGAATTAGACTTTCCACGACCATTGGGAGATTCCCGAGAGCTAGATGAACCAAGTGGCGGAAATGCGGAAGCCTGTGCGCTCTTAACTGGATGTTGTGGAATGATCGGGAGTAAATAATCAATAGCATTCAAGTGGCTTTGCTTTGAGCCTAAACCTGCTGTATTGGACGTGTTCCAGGCAGCTCTTGAGTGTTGCAAGACCGGTTCCTCCCCTGCTGGAATCGATGGGAATACGGCCATGATTGATGGGTGATAAAGTAGTTGTGAAGCCCTCAGCTTGGATTCGGCTACAATGCTAGCTAGAGCCTCTAAAATCGCCGGAAAACTAACGTTTGAGGGCGAAGCTTGGGGAAAGTATTCGAGTAGTCCGTCCCTATGCGCAATAATATCTGCACCTGGAATAACCAGTCCCTGAGCTACAACAAAGCTGGCTAGTTTCACAGCTAAAGCATCCAGAACACCGGAAGTTGCTAGACTTTGTTGGTGAGACTCCTGCAAGCATATTCGAGCTATAAGTGATGCCGCCAACGAGATCTGATTTTGTATAATGTGTGATGATGATGTTTGGGAAATGATGCGGGTTAGCGAGGCAAGGTGCGGGCGTATGAATAACGCTGCGGCCAGAGATTTGATGGTAATAGGATGTGCACTTGTGGCAAGCATTGCGGATTCTGCAAGATTGGTTAAGGCCCGAAGTGCTGCGAGAACTGTTTGTGGAGGATTATTCGATGGGCAAAAGTTCGATAGGATAGCTGGGAGCGCAGAGCCATAGTGTAATGGCGCAAGGAAAGCTGGACCGCCTAGTTTATGTTAATGAAGGGTACAATGAGTATAGTAAATCTACTAACCATATGCAAGGCTTCCTAAGACTTGAAGAGCTTGCAGTCGAAGCATTTCCTCCTCCTCCTCTTCTTGTGATGGTCGGATCGCATAACTATGGTCGTGTGCCTTTCCGTCCTGATTTTTGGGAACCGACTTGTTGAGACATAGGCGTACGACAGGTTCCACAAGGCCCATGGTTACAACCATTTCCTTCTTTAAAGCATGACCAACGATTTCATTCTTAAGACCTTTCAAGTTGGCGATCTGCTCCGAGGTAGACCTGGCATTTCGAATCAAGAGCGGCCATCCTTGTGTGGCTAAACTTCTAGCCATAGTGTACTTTCAAGCCAGCGAATGTAGGGAAACTATCTCGAAATAGCACCCGATGACGAAGGAAGTTATTAGAAGAAGCAAGAATTATTTTTTGATTGATTTGTGTTCGATAGGTAAGATGGTGAGATTCGTGGTTGATTAATTAGTAGTAGGTTGGGTAGAAAGAATGTTTGAATGTTGTACGCAGATAGGATAGGGAATTTGTTAATAAGGTTCCATTACCGTAGAACTAAGGTTAATGACGAATGAGTTGTAACTCGTCTCGTACAATACCTACCTCTTCTAAAATCTATAAAACAACACCAACAACAACAATGTAATTGTTGAGAGACAAGTATCGAACAACAGTGCAATCAATCGCTTGAAGAAGAATCCGGTATGTACAATGATTATTACAATATGGAGAGACCTTGGTAGGGACGGTAATCGAGGCAGGTAGATATTGTGTAGGTCAGATAGACATCACCTCGGAGATATGCTCCATGTTCTCGAACCAAACACTCTTTCTTTGCTATTACTGATGGATGACGCGCTCCTCTGGCGTCTGGGGGTTACCTCAAGCGTGGGATTGGATTGGACTTCTTCACATGGATCGGAGGTAGGGAGGAAGGTAGTGGTAGGTACGAGGTAGTGGTAGGTACGAGGTAGTGGAAGGTCGTTCACGGTATCTTACATGCACATGGGATAACGAAAATGAAATGATATAAATTGATCGGACAAATTGAACACCAAATACTCGATAGAAAGAGAACAAGGCGTTATTGTACCACGAGTCATTATCACCCAAGTATACTATCTATCGCATATATACATACGTACACATACCTACACATACCTACACATACATATCCAGGTACTGTACTTAAACATCAACCGGAATCATTCTCAAGCAGAGTTTTCCGGTCAACCCTTTTCTTGCACCTCATTGACTATTTCTTTTGCCTCCTTTACTTCCTCCTTACTAGATACGATACAGATACGTCGCAAAGTCGGTAGAAACAAAACCTTATAAGACTGTACTCCGTACATTCCTACCACTCTCACTT